ACCACTCTCACATTACCACACACACACACACCACTCTCACATTACCACACACACACACACACACACCACTCTCACATTACCACACACACACACCACTCTCACATTACCACACACACACACACACCACTCTCACATTACCACACACACACACACACACACCACTCTCACATTACCACACACACACACACACACACCACTCTCACATTACCACACACACACACACACCACTCTCACATTACACACACACACACACACCACTCTCACATTACTGGTATGGGAATATAAACAACAGATTTAGAGTGAATTGCACAGTACAGTACAGTACACACGGGGGGGGGGGGGTGTTACTGTACAGTACACACGGGGGTTACTGTACAGTACACACGGGGGGTTACTGTACAGTACACACGGGGGTGTTACTGTACAGTACACACGGGGGTTACTGTACAGTACACACGGGGGTTACTGTACAGTACACACGGGGGTGTTACTGTACAGTACACACGGGGGTTACTGTACAGTACACACGGGGGGTTACTGTACAGTACACACGGGGGGTTTCCGTACAGTACACACGGGGGTTACTGTACAGTACACACGGGGGTTACTGTACAGTACACACGGGGGGTTACCGTACAGTACACACGGGGGTTACTGTACAGTACACACGGGGGTTACTGTACAGTACACACGGGGGTTACTGTACAGTACACACGGGGTGTTACTGTACAGTACACACGGGGTGTTACTGTACAGTACACACGTGGGGGGTTACTGTACAGTACACACGGGGTGTTACTGTACAGTACACACGGGCTACTGTACAGTACACACGGGGGGGTTACTGTACAGTACACACGGGGGTTACTGTACAGTACACACGGGGTGTTACTGTACAGTACACACGGGGTTACTGTACAGTACACACGGGGGTTACTGTACAGTACACACGGGGGTTACTGTACAGTACACACGGGGGTTACTGTACAGTACACACGGGGGTTACTGTACAGTACACACGGGGGTGTTACTGTACAGTACACACGGGGGTTACTGTACAGTACACACGGGGGGGGGGTTACTGTACAGTACACACGGGGTTACTGTACAGTACACACGGGGTACACACGGGGTTACTGTACAGTACACACGGGGTTACTGTACAGTACACACGGGGGTTACTGTACAGTACACACGGGGGTTACTGTACAGTACACACGGGGGTTACTGTACAGTACACACGGGGGTTACTGTACAGTACACACGGGGGTTACTGTACAGTACACACGGGGGTTACTGTACAGTACACACGGGGGTTACTGTACAGTACACACGGGGGTTACTGTACAGTACACACGGGGGTTACTGTACAGTACACACGGGGGTTACTGTACAGTACACACGGGGGTGTTACTGTACAGTACACACGGGGGTTACTGTACAGTACACACGGGGGTGTTACTGTACAGTACACACGGGGGTTACTGTACAGTACACACGGGGTGTTACTGTACAGTACACATGGGGGTTACTGTACAGTACACACGGGGGGTTACTGTACAGTACACACGGGGGTTACTGTACAGTACACACGGGGGTGTTACTGTACAGTACACACGGGGGTGTTACTGTACAGTACACACGGGGGTTACTGTACAGTACACACGGGGGTGTTACTGTAAAGTACACACGGGGGTGTTACTGTACAGTACACACGCGGGTGTTACTGTACAGTACACACGGGGGTGTTACTGTACAGTACACACGGGGGTTACTGTACAGAACACACGGGGGGGGGTTACTGTACAGTACACACGGGGTTACTGTACAGTACACACGGGGGTTACTGTACAGTACACACGGGGGTGTTACAGTACAGTACACACGGGGGTGTTACTGTACAGTACACACGGGGGTGTTACTGTACAGTACACACGGGGGTTACTGTACAGTACACACGGGGTGTTACTGTACAGTACACACGGGGGTTACTGTACAGTACACACGGGGGTTACTGTACAGTACACACGGGGGTTACTGTACAGTACACACGGGGGTGTTACTGTACAGTACACACGGGGGTTACTGTACAGTACACACGGGGTGTTACTGTACAGTACACACGGGGGTTACTGTACAGTACACACGGGGTGTTACTGTACAGTACACACGGGGGTTACTGTACAGTACACACGGGGGGTTACTGTACAGTACACACGGGGGTTACTGTACAGTACACACGGGGGTGTTACTGTACAGTACACACGGGGGTGTTACTGTACAGTACACACGGGGGTTACTGTACAGTACACACGGGGGTTTTACTGTACAGTACACACGGGGGTGTTACTGTACAGTACACACGGGGGTTACTGTACAGAACACACGGGGGGGGGGGTTACTGTACAGTACACACGGGGTTACTGTACAGTACACACGGGAGTTACTGTACAGTACACACGGGGGTGTTACAGTACAGTACACACGGGGGTGTTACAGTACAGTACACACGGGGGTGTTACTGTACAGTACACACGGGGGTTACTGTACAGTACACACGGGGTGTTACTGTACAGTACACACGGGGGTTACTGTACAGTACACACGGGGGGTTACTGTACAGTACACACGGGGGTTACTGTACAGTACACACGGGGGTGTTACTGTACAGTACACACGGGGGGGTGTTACTGTACAGTACACACGGGGGTTACTGTACAGTACACACGGGGGTGTTACTGTACAGTACACACGGGGGTTACTGTACAGAACACACGGGGGGGGGGGTTACTGTACAGTACACACGGGGGTTACTGTACAGTATACACGGGGGTTACTGTACAGTACACACGGGGTGTTACTGTACAGTACACACGGGGGTTACTGTACAGTACACACGGGGTGTTACTGTACAGTACACACGGGGGTTACTGTACAGTACACACGGGGGGGTGTTACTGTACAGTACACACGGGGGGGGGGGGGGGGGGGGTTACTGTACAGTACACACGGGGGGGGGGGGGTACTGTACAGTACACACGGGGGGTTACTGTACAGTACACACGGGGGGGGGGGTACAGTACACACGGGGGTACACACGGGGGGGGGGGGTGGTTACTGTACAGTACACACGGGGGTGTTACTGTACAGTACACACGGGGGTTACTGTACAGTACACACGGGGGTGTTACTGTACAGTACACACGGGGGTTACTGTACAGTTACTGTACAGTACACACGGGGGTTACTGTACAGTACACACGGGGGGGGTTACTGTACAGTACACACGGGGGTTACTGTACAGTACACACGGGGGTTACTGTACAGTACACACGGGGGTTACTGTACAGTACACACGGGGGTTACTGTACAGTACACACGGGGGTTACTGTACAGTACGGGGGGGGGGGGGTTACTGTACAGTACACACGGGGGTTACTGTACAGTACACACGGGGGATTACTGTACAGTACACACGGGGGGTTACTGTACAGTACACACGGGGGTTACTGTACAGTACACACGGGGTGTTACTGTACAGTACACACGGGGGTTACTGTACAGTACACACGGGGGGTTACTGTACAGTACACACGGGGGTTACTGTACAGTACACACGGGGGTTACTGTACAGTACACACGGGGGGTTACTGTACAGTACACACGGGGGTTACTGTACAGTACACACGGGGTGTTACTGTACAGTACACACGGGGGGTTACTGTACAGTACACACGGGGTGTTACTGTACAGTACACACGGGGGTTACCACACAGTACACACGGGGGGGGGGGGGTTACTACACAGTACACACGGGGGGGGGGTTACTACACAGTACACACGGGGGTCACTGTACAGTACACACGGGGGTTACTGTACAGTACACACGGGGGGGGGGGTTACTGTACAGTACATACGGGGGTTACTGTACAGTACACACGGGGGTTACTGTACAGTACACACGGGGGTTACTGTACAGTACACACGGGGGTTACTGTACAGTACACACGGGGGTTACTGTACAGTACACACGGGGGGGGGCTACTGTACAGTACACACGGGGGGGGTTACCACACAGTACACACGGGGGGGGGGGGTTACCACACAGTACACACGGGGGGGGTTACCACACAGTACACAAGGGGGGGGGGGGTTACCACACAGTACACACGGGGGGGGTTACCACACAGTACACACGGGGGGGGGTTACCACACAGTACACACGGGGGGGGGGTTACCACACAGTACACACGGGGGGGGGGGGGGGGTACCACACAGTACACACGCTTGTGTTAGACAGTCTATATACAAGTTTACTGTGTAGCGAAGATAGTGAGTGAGTTACCTGCGTTAGTGAAGGTAATATTGAAGTACATATTTACCTCAAGTACTGGGTGTGGGGTAAGCTGAGTGAAGCATGTGAGAAGTGTCTACATGTACTGGGGAAGGGTAGAGGACACGAGAGTGGTGCAGTAGAGGCAATACTCTAGAGGCATTATTTACCAGTGTGTGAGAGGCAGTCAGGGTGTCCACCTGATACTCATCTTTGAATTAAAAATGATTAAATGCTGAAAAAATATATTATTACAAATCAGGGGCCAGATTCACGAAGCAGTTATGCAAGCACTTACGAACCTGTCCATCTTTTCTCAATTTTTGGCGGCTTTGTTTACAATTATTATACAGTTAATGAGCTCCGTAGCAACAGGAGGCTGTTTATAACAATAACAACAGTTGATTGGCACGTTCTCATGATTGTAAACTGTTTAATAATTGTAAACAAAGCCGTCAAAGATTGAGGAAAGATGTACACGTTCCTAAGTGCTTTCGTGAATCTGGCCCCTGATAATTTGTGAATATAATAAAAGTACTGTATTATAAATTTGTAACTTACAAAAAAAGGTGTCAATATGTTGGTATGGATGTAAGGTAGTTTTGCGACCTTACCTCAGAGAGTAGCATTAACTAGAGTAAGAGGACAACACCTAGTACTATGGGACTTACTCATCCTCCCAAGGGCATATGTCTGTCATCTTCTGTGGCGGGTTGTCCTCCCAGGGGGCCACTAAGCTGCTTGCCACCTTGGGAGAGGCGGGCTTACTCCCTCCTTCCGTGGGACAAGGTAGCGTGACCCGCGGGGACTCGCTGGGGTGGTGACCGCCGGTACTGCTGCTGCTACTGGTGGTGCTGGTGTCCCCGCTGCTGAGGGTGGTGCCTACATGCCCATGCTGAGTCTGCTGACTCAAGGAGGTCACGCTAGCTGCCGAACTGATGATGGGCAGCCCGTACTGACCTGGCAGGTGGCCCGACCTCACGGTGTAGTCTATCTTGATGCGGCGAGAGTCGCTCTGACTGGATGACGAGCAGGTCGACGACGGGGAGGATGTTCCCTCGCTGCTGATGCCAGGGCGGGGGTCGAGCACCGTCTGCATTGCCACACTGTCAAGTTTGGTGTAACTTTCACTACAGATGGAGGTTATATTCATGCTAAGATATTTGTCTTTTGGCTTGATAGCTTGGTCTACTTTGCCCTCGCTCTCCTCACTGGGCCGCCGCACACGAGGACTTGCCGTGCTGGTGCTCTCACTCACTCTCTCTCCAGACTCTTCCTCCACTACCTCTTCCCAAGGACAAATTTGGATCGAAATGTTTCTTTCACAAGGCGGACGCGAGCCATCTTTACTTCCCCAGTCTCTTGAGATTACCGGTGGACCTGTGCTCGTGGCTACTTTATAAGACGCGTCGCAGTGCTCCGGGTGAACCTGTAAAGGCGTTATCAAAGGGTTCACTGTGTCCGTTGTTATCATTCCCGGCGCAGAACTGGTCGAAGGTTTCTTAGGTGGTTCACTTGTCTCCCAAGGGCACACATCCACATCAATAGATTTAGACTTTTCTGTGGTGCGATTTGGCAGTTCTTGAGACTCCCATGGACAGATGGAGGCAGTTGGGTGGCCCTCTGTGAGAACTGGCACTAGACTCGGTGCCACACACACCGAACCATGTCTCTTGCTGAGAGAACTTACATCGACTGACTTGGAGCGGTCAGGTCGCGCCTTAGAGTAAGTCAACCTCTGTTGTGTGGGCTTGACGATGGGCTGTTGAGTGCGTGTAGGAGGCGGAGCGGAGGTCTCCCAGGGGCAGATGTTGGCAGCGGAGGCTTCGCTGGTGGTGTCCCACGGGCACACACTGTCGCTCTGGCTCACCTCAACCGCAGTTATGCTCTGCCTCTCTGAGCAACTGTGGAAAGGAAGTTGAACAATAGTGCAACACAATTATTAGCAATATTGCATGTGTTGTTTATACATCTATAGCTTTAAGAGATAATGTGTGTGTAGGAGGCTGGAGGCACCTGGAGCCAGCCACACCCAAGTGCTGTGAGGCAGTGACACAATTTACTACGGGTCGGCCCAAGTGAGAGGCTTCACAGAATTATTAGCATTTATAGAGATCCCCACACATGCGATTATCATGGCGTCAAGTCTGAAATACTGGTTGTCTTTCCCACAGAGTTGTTTCAGTGCTACAAAATAACCCATTTTCTTCTCAGGGAAGAGGAAGAGGAGGGAAGAGGGGGAATTGGGAGAGGAAGAAGGTGAGGGAAGAAAGACGACTGCAACTCGGTACCCATTATATTATATACATTTATATATTATATAATATATATATATATATATATATATATATATATATATATATATATATATATATATATATATATATATATATATTGCATAGTGTGTGTGTGTGTGTGTGTGTGTGTGTGTGTGTGTGTGTGTGTGTGTGTGTGTGTGTGTGTGTGTGTGTGTGTGTGTGTGTGTGTGTGTGTGCGCGCGCGCGCGCACAAAGGTAATTATCAAAAAATCACCAAGCCAAGGTGACAAATGATGTGACACCATCAAAGTTGTAGTTGGAAAAGGTGCTAAATATTACCAAGGATGCCAATACGAGAACGAAAGCCCATTAGGCGAACAATATGAAAGGCATTGGATTCATCTAAAAGTTTATCGAACAGCAAGGAACAGTCGGGAAGCAAGATATGAACGTCCAGAGTATCAGGATATTCAAGGAGATGTAAGGACACGGCAGTTCGGACAATAAGGAGCAGCGTGGCGCTTCATTAAGCGTTTGTGAGTTAAGCGTATACGGCCAATATGCAACCTCGCCAGAGCCATTTCCCACCGTCGATTATAGTGATAGGAGGACGGTCATGGGGACACACTACCCTTAGGAGCACGCAGTTTGTTACCAGTAACAGAAGACCAACGACCCAGCCAACGGTCAAGGATTGAGGAGTGAATAACTGGGTAGAAGTCAGAATAAGGAACACCTTTATGGGAGATGGGACAAGGGCAGATGGCCTCTTATGCAGCAGCGTCCGCACACTCATTTAAGAACACCAATATGGGTGGAAACCCAGCAAACTCCCCTGTCTTAAATCTGCTGGAGATAAGAAACAACCAATGTTGAATTTCGAATACTACCGGATGGACTGGATTAAATGACTCCAGAGGCCATGTGAGAGTCAAGTACAACAACAAAGGAAAATTGACAGCAAGAAAGCCGATGACGAAGAGCATAAAAATACCATAAAGTTCTGCCGTGAAAATACTAGGCTCTTGAGGCAGGCGACACATATAGTTGTGGTCAGGGGAGAGAAAAAAAAAAAAAAAAAAAAAACAGTAGCCTACAACGTCTGCAGATTTGGGCCAATCGGTGAAGACGGAAATGGAACAGGAGTCTGAAGAAAAGTATTCAACGGAAAGGTGTTTCTGAACTGTAGGAGGGGTAAAAGCTTTAGTCACATGCGTCAAGGTTTTACAAAACTTAGGAAGAGAGACCCTCCATAGGGGCAAGGACGGAATGACACGAGGAGAAACATTGGCAACACGAACCGAAAGAGAACCATGCAAGCGAGACAACCATATAGAAAGAGGAAGATGGTGAAGAGCAACATGGAACACAGGAGGGGTAATGGTCAAAGTACGACATAAGCAAAAGTGAGGGTGTTGTAGGGGCCGCGTAAGGTTGCGAAGACGGTAGCAATCACGTCGATCCTGTAGCGACAGGATGCCAGTTTAAACATACAGGCTTAGGGTAGGAGTCGAACGAAAAGCTGAGGCGTAGCCCAGTATGGTGAAGAGCATGAAGACGACAATAAGTTGAGAGAGAGGCAGACGAGTAAGCAGAACAGCCATAATCGAGTTTAGACAGCACGAGAGAGGAATGTAAAGAGAGGAGCGTGCATCTATCAGCTCCCCAGGAAGTAGACAAACCACTTGGGCTGGACGGTAGAGTGACCATCTAGCTTCATGCAGGTCGGTGTTCAATCCCCGACCGTCCAGAAGTGGTTGGCCACCATTCCTTCCTTCTGCCCAATCCCAAATCCTTTTCCTGACCTCTTCCAAGTGCTATATGGTCGTAATGGCTTGGCACTTTTCCTGATAGTTTCCTTCACTTCCCCAGGAAGTATGGGACAAGACTTTAAGGAGGTTAAGGGCCTTAGAGCATTCAACTCGGAGGCAAGAGATATGGATCAACCAAGACAAACGAGTGTCAAAGATTAACCCCAAAAGCTTAGCAAAATCTTTGTACACAAGGGGATTACCATAAAGAGACAATGAGGGACGAAGAACGACCTGCTTCTGAGTAAAAGTCATGGCGCAGATTTTAGTTGTAGAGAAGTTGAAATCATGATTAGTGGCCCACGACGACGTGTCATCAATCCCAAGTTGAAGCCGCCACTGGAGGAAAGGCCAGTCATCACCTCGACATCAACAGGTAAGAGCGTCAACATGGAGCTGAGAAGATGCCAGAGGGAAGGGAGGAAAGACGACCATTGACGGCAACCAGGAAAAAGTGTAGTTCTCAGAATACTACCTTGGGGTACACCTTTGTATTCCGAAAAGAGGCAGAGAGAGTGGTACCAAGCTTCACTCTAAAGGATCAACAAGAGAGGAAGCTTTCTAGAAAAAGAGAGAGATTACCACGAAGGTCAAAAGAACGGAGTTGGGACTGAATATGGTATCTCCAAGTTGTGTCATAAGCCTTTTCCAGGCAAAAAAAATAAAGAGCAGCAACAGCAGAGGTCTTCACAACAAAAGCAGTACGAACATAGACCTCCAAGTTTACCAAGACATCAGATGTGCTGCGACACTTGCAAAAGTCAAATTGAGAAGCGGAGAGATGGTGATTGTGTTCTAAAAACCACATCAGACGGACATTGACCATACGTTCAAAGAGTTTGCAAACGCAACTCATGAGGGCAATGGGGCAGAAGTCCTTAGGGGATGACCCTAGAGAACCTGGTTTTCGAATAGGCAAAACAACCTCCTCAAGCTAGTCCTCAGGGACTTGGAAATGGGAGGGAAATGCAGGGATAGAGTCGGAGTTGGAAGGTGGGGAACACAGCGATGCCTTCTTACCCACAGGGGAGGAAGAAGGAGAGGAGCCAGGCTTACGTCTCTGACGTAGAGACAGGCGTACCATCAGCAATGTACTGGGCGACAGCCTCTACACTCTCAATAGGAGAAGAAGAACGAGAGCAGTCATCATGAAGATTACTGGGAGGAGGATGGACAACGGCACGAACAGTGTGGACGGCCACACTGACAGAGAGAAGGGCTGAGAAGGACTGGGGTGAGAAGGGAAAGAGGGCACAGGAGACAGGGAAGACTGGGAAGGAAGGAAACACCAGACGGAGAATCAGGTGATTGATTGATTGATGAAGATTAAGCCACCCAAAAGGTGGCACGGGCATGAATAGCCCGTAAGTGGTGGCCCTTTTGAGCCATCTGTGGAGATCTGTGAAGGTGCGACTGCACCCTGCGTGACTGGAGATGTCTCCCGTGTATCAGGAGGAAGACCCTCTGGCTCATATAGCAAAAGAGCAGGTGAGGTGGTGGTGGAGGTTCAAGGTCTGGAAAAGGTTGCAAAACTGAGAAAGTCGGAGAGGGCAAAGAGATGTGTAACACAATACACGGGCATAAGACATGCCAGAGAAAGAGAGAAGACGGCACACTTGGCATCTCACCTCAGGAAAAGATAAATAATCACGATGTTTCATATTGAAGATGGCTTCCTCAAATTTGTAGTGCACACATGCGTGGGAGAAGGTAATGTGAGCGTCACCACAATTGATGCAGTGAGATTGGGAATAAAAGCACTGTCTTAGAATAACCCGAGTCTCCACACAAGTGGCATACACACACACCCCACACTCGTGCATTTGGAGGGACCATGTCCAAATCTCCAGCACCTATTACAGAGGCGAGGAGAGGGGATATACTCCTGAACAGAGCATCTGTTAGCAGCAAAAATTACAGTTGGAAGGGACCTACTATCAAAAGTGATCTTCACTACGCAAAGAGGCTGGCGACGGTGACCACGAGGGGGTCGAGTGAATGCATCAATCTGAAGGATAGAATGGCCTTGGGCCTTGAGGATATATTTAATATTCTCATGGCAGTGCAGGCGATGAGTCACAATAACGTGGCTGAAGTATGTTGACCAGACCACACACTAGAAGTTGAAGGGACGACGACGTTTCGGTCCGTCCTGGACCATTCTCAAGTCGATGATTTGAGAATGGTCCAGGACGGATCGAAACGTCGTCGTCCCTTCAACTTCTAGTGTGTGGTCTGGTCAATATTCTCATGGCAGTCTTTCAGTTCCAAGTCACCAGTCACAAATGGTGCGGGAGAATAACCGTACCAATGCTGACATTTAACCAGGCATTTTTGGAGATCCGAACAGGAGTCTCCCCAATGCAAGACAAGGAGGCTAAGCGGTCAACCACTTCCTGAGAAAGGGCTGCAGTGACACGTGTACTAGTACCAGTAACATTAAAAGTGACAAACGTATCCACCGAATCAACTAGGTGTTAATGGATGAATGAGAGATGATGAAGCATCTCGTATTGCAACCTGCCCTCAGGGTGGAGATCTGCTCAAGGGAATGGATTGGGAACTACTGCATAATTAGTGATATTATTTACTCCCTATCCATGGTTAGGTTAAGGTTTGGATAGGACAGGTTAGTTTTCAATGCATTTGGTTACATTAATACAATCAATTATTGATGATGTGAAATATGGAACTTGAAAACTATTTGAGTGTGCCCACGAATTTCAGTTACAGAAAACCATATTATTCAAAGAAAACGTTTTAGCATAATTTTGATATATATTAAACCAATGATTTATATTACAATAAAGTTATAATTGGAGAATAATCTCAGTT